ACGAAAGGAACGTTGAAACGTGGACGGGTTGGCAGGCCCTCCGCAGTATAGCATATGTACCTACATTGGGGTGGTTGCAGGGGTCAATGTATGTAAATATGCCATAGATGGAGTGTCTGGGTTAGATTCTGTTCAACCTCATGCGAGGGACGTCTTTTGGCCGTCGGCGGACGAGCGCGTGACGCAGCGCACTGGTGCGCAGGCGGTGATGTCCTTGGGGATCGTTCCCTGAAGCCACTCATAGATAGCCTAAGTTCACGAAAAAGATGGGCTTGGTGAATAGAAGGAAGACCCCCAGATTGTTCCAACCACTAGGTCACTGGGTCACTAGCAACACTGCCTGATTCAACCCCGTGTTTCTGGCGTCCCTTTTCCCACCCAAACCAATCGGCCGTGGATTCCGCACCAATCCGCTGACCCCCGGGATCCGGGGATCCGTTCCGAAGACCCTTTGGTCGGGGAGGGCGTGGCCAAAGAAGGTGCTTGGACCCCCCAACTACTGGACCCCAGTCCCAAGCTCCAAACGAGAAATACTTGGAGCTTTGGGGAAGGCATATGTTCAAATGCCTAGAGCAACAAGGTCAGTGTTTCTTTGTCCTGTGTGCATCCAATTATGAGTGTAGGATCGTGTAGGTCAAAAATCTCACAATGATAATTATCCTCTAATTGTAGCACCCGGTTTTTCGGCACGAATCTGCTTCCAATCCCACTGCATGGTTTGGTTTGAAAACCTTTTGGCATACATATAGACTCCCACACTGCTCTTTTCAAAGATCTAAACTGACACTTTCTCACTGAATGTTGATGTAGAATCTTGATGAATCGCCCTCCCCCCTTGTGGATTATTATACCTCTTCTTGTCCTCAAGAGCCTACATGACTGTTCCACCCCCCACCGCGCGGCTGAGGACGCCGCCTGGAGGAGCTGAATCGTCCCACGGTACTGAGCTGAAGAGGCTCCACCAGCCTCCACTCGACGTGGCCCGACCATCGAAGGCTGGGCTGACCGGGCGAAAAACGGGTTGGACAACGGGATGAAATCCTCGCGACAAATGGGAACTGCACCGGTGTGAATTCCGAGGGCCGTGAGTTTACTAGTGGTTGGAAGACCTGTGTCAAGGATGGATCTTTCCTGGTGTGAATGCAAAAAATCGGTCCATGTGACGAGGACGGACCTCATTGCTCGGCCAATTTCAACGACCGACCCGACCAGTGACCGGGTATTACAGTATTCTATTCACGTCTCCCCTATTTGGCTCTTACAGGAAGAACGAACTCGAAACGTTTGGTCCCCCGGCTGCAGGAATTTCGGTGCCACTTGGAACCACATCATAGTTCTTTTGGGGGGGGGTTTGGATGAGGATGCCGGGCACGATCTTTCTCAAAGGCCATGCACCTGGCGCCATGCAGTCGCATCAAGGTCGAAAGCTGAAGGGTGCTTCTGGAGAGCCAACTTCTCCCAAGATGGACTTGTTTCTCCCAGGGACTTCGGACTCTGGGAGCGTCCCCCACCGAGAAGGAACCTGGATCGTGCGGTGGTTTGTGGAGGGAATTGGGGTGCCGTTCCTTCGAGCGGAGGACGCCCTTTTTCAGGGTTCGATGATTCTACGCAGTCAGTGCGGTCAGTAAACTGGTATTTGAAGGGTCACTTAGGAACCTTCAAAAGGTCACTTTGAAGAAGCTGGTAACCGGTATTTGATCTTATTTAAAGATTTTGGGAGCTTTGGCGTTCCCAAGGGGCATGACAATGACGGTGAAGTGAGCAGAGATCAAACAGACAATAAACAGACACTCCGGATTTGCGCTCTGGCCGCGTGGACGACGGGTCTCTGGCTGGGACAAGTAGGTTGAGGGACCCCCCCGCCGATGCGACCGACGAAACATTCGACCAATCCAGTGGTGGCCGGCATGAGGCGGTGGTTTGCCAAATGCTTTGTGTGATGAAACTAGCAGGACCTTCCCTGCCAGGTCTCCGAAATGGAGGGTTGGGAAGGGCCTCAATTGGTGACCTGGCAAGGAGGTGATGGTATAGGTAATGTTTGCTTACATGGAGTGGAGTGAAACAGGGACTGGAATATGTCAGCGTGCGCACCTCTCCCATATCGGGGGTCTCCTGGTTGGACGACTCCTAACAAAACCACAACGTGGATCTCTAGACGGGAGAGTCCGACATGAAGGTCCAGCCGCCTACCCCTGTTCCACACTTTTCAACCACCTTACCTGACCAGCATGCCATGCCAGTCCCCTGTGCCAGGCCTTTCGAGCGAGCAATAATCAGTCGGCGGCCGTCGGCAGGACCACGGCTTGCGCTGGATTGCGGTTTTCCGAAGACATGCCGTGCCTTTGATAACCGAGACAAGCAGCAAATCATCAGTCAAAAGTAGATGCCTAAACTCATGATATTGTGTACTATACCTGTTTTTGGTAGACTTGCCGAATCGTTTGGTTGGTTTCAGCTTGCATTGGCAAGTTGGACAGAATATGACAGAATCATGTATGCATGACATTGTTTGTGGATTTGGACATTCAAGATAGTACTTGGTTTCTGTCCCCAACCAGCCGTGCCAAGTCGCCATGATCCTTTCATGCACTGACCGGCCGGGAGCAAAAGAGATTTGAAGATATGTACTGTAATATATATAATATGTGTATTACAATATATATATATATTATTTAGTTCTGTACATTACAATGCTTAGAGCCCAACATGACCCCTGTTTTGATAGGACGTTTGGCCATTGTTTGCATGGCTGCCACTTCAAGATGATGGAGGTCACTGAGGTGTTTGTGTACAATAGAAAGGTCGATAGATAGATAGATTATGATAGGCTGATAGATACATTTATTACATTGTACTTGAGCCATTTGAAAGGCATAAGGCATCCCAAAGTGAGTCTTTTTGCATTCTCTCCCAGCCTTTCTCAGCTTGAGCCGTCCAGGATTTCGCAAATGTCCCCCCGCACAAAAGACCTGAACATCACATAACAGTGGAAAGGCCGCGCAGTGCCTCCTTGTTTAGACGCCAGAAAGGAGCACCCTGAAGAGTTTTAAACGGACCGTGACTTTCGACCTGTTTCGACCAGTGACTTTGGGGGTCCAATGTGGGTCACTCTGGGAATCCCAGATCCCCGAAGACGCGCACGACGAGTGCAATTGCATCACGACGCAGTGGAATTGGAAGGACCACATCATTGGTCGTAAAAGCATGAGTTTCTTCGGGACCTGGTTTTAGTATGTTTTAAAAGGTGAGACCTGTAGGGGTTTTGCATGGTCCTTCCTTCACTTGGATGCAAGTGAAGGAACTTAGCTGAGCAGGGCTGTCACGAGACCATCATCTTTAAGATGTTCACACGTGCAGTGTAGTTGCAAATCCTGGTGGCTTGAAGAGTGGCTTGGTGTTTTGATGCGTAGGCCGCGGCTGCATATGCCAGGCAGCCCTGGCAGCTTAGGGTCTTTAATGGCCGTTGCACTAAATTAGTGCAACTCATTCCAAAATAGAAAGCCCGACACGTCCCTCTTGGGCGAAGAAACTGTGTAAACTGTGAAGTTGTCAGCATAGATGGCCTAACATAGAAGTGGTTGGTGGATTCATAGAATAGTTGATAGTTAAAGCAACCTCCTATGACAGTGTTCCTTGAATTGTTGCCTGTTGGAAGGAACTCCTGAAGAATCGCTCGACGGTGAAATGGCGGTCTTCAACGGCAGAGATCCCGTTGGCAGAGCGTGTCACGTTTTTCCTTTTAAATTGCCATGCCCTATGGATCCAAGTATATCGAGGTATATCAAGGTCCGAAGAATCTGTAGCGAACTGGAGCATATAATCCCTATGGATCCAAGTACCTTCTCAGAAGGTACTTGAACTCTCCAAACCTACATAGCGGTGTCTCCAATCACCGTACCTGAGAAGGTCCTAGGGATGTATATATAGATTGGAGGCGATCGCTACTAGCGGTTTCTAGCGCTACCAGGTTGGAGGCCATCCCTTTCAGGTTGGAGGCCAGCAAACACGTCGAAGTATTGAAAAACGTGGTTGATGTGCAATCGCAAGGACCCCCACCACCCCCTAAGAGGATGTTTGGGCTTGGTTAGGGGTCCACCGACCTTCTGAGGATTTGGGCCAGGAGCCGTGGATCTTTTTCTGATGCGGCTCACGTCAGTTCAGGTGCCACTCCAACCGCAGAGTCGCAGGGATGCTGAGGTGAGACATCCGGTGGAAAACTGCCTGGGGCACCTGAAATCCCAACAACAACTGTCAGTTCTTCCTGCTGAAGAGGGTGTTTTCTCTAGGGAAAGTGCTGGTGAAACCTTGATGTGGTCCAGTTTTCCAAGAACTTGATGCATGGCCCCAGGCATCCAAGAAGTTTTGTTGAGGCAGGGGCAGTTGGAAGTGCTTGCAGAGCCTGAGTGTTGGGCAAAGTGTGGGGCCTGGAGTCTCCTGAACAAGAAATATGCAGTCCCTAATCGTCCCCAGTTGCGTCCATTTCGGACCCCGTAAAACCATGTCAACACCTCATTGAGTCGTTGTTTTGTTCTTTTTTGTATGATCCACGTCCAGTATTTCATGAGGTCAGTTCCTGACCTTTAGGGTGGGCTGCTACTTGCTCTGCCCAGACACTGGGCAGCCCATGGCGTCAGTTTGCCGCAGGGCCAATCCTGAATCCCGCCAACCGCCCGTTCGCCCCATTAGCGGTGAGGCTGGTGCTTCCAAAAGGGTCCAAGGACTCAACACATTTGCGGATTTGGGTGTGAATTAAAACATTTTAACCATCCCAGAGACCCCCTGGAAGGAAAATGCACCCAAACCCATTGGGGCAGTGGATCTCACTATTAAAACACACACTCATTTGCAAGTCCTATCCTGTTTTAAGGACCCTGATCTTTTTGTGAACCCAAACAAAACGGAGCTAGTGGAGGACTGGTGCCTTGACTTGTAACTAAGACCTTCTATGCAGTGGCTTCAGAGTGAGTAGGATGCACAATCCCAGTCCACTCAATGATGCTTCCAGGTAGTGTAGGTCCGGTTTCCATATGTTTCCATATACGTGTAAATGTGTTGAACCATTAACTGTGTCCTGAAACCTTTGGACACAATCATTTTTCCATGGCTACCCAGGTGTTGCGACCGCTTTCCCGGGTGATGAAGTTGTTTTTGGTGGTTTTAGGGGGGGTTCCTCCCCAGGGCAGGACGACTGGTCATGTCCCAAGTGGCGCAAAACCGAACAGCCCCTGGTGGCGCTGGCTGTGGAGTGGAAGCGGACGCACCAGCCCTCCCGGCACCTCTGAGGGGAACTCGAGGTGCACCGATCCTCCGGCGATATCGCTGGCGACCAAACCGGGGGGAGCCAACTGTAGCGGACAAGATAGAAAGATCCCAGTAATTATTTGGATTGTATATATATAGGCAGTCTTGATACTTCAGGCATCTATTCATATCTATTCGGATTCTTTTGCGGAATTCACACATCATTATGTATATATATATATATACTTTTTGATTCACTTGGATTTCTGTTCCCGAACTGGGAAGATGTGTTACTATTTTTTCCCGGGCTCTTGGACTGTAAATCCAAGGATTGCTATATGGGTGTGTTGCTCGGAGACGGACCGCCCTTCCGACGCATGTTCGGGCCAGGGCGAACCGTCTACCGCAAGGGCGAATTGGGGGATCTCCCCATTGAAAGGCACGCCCATCTTGGTCTGGAACTCTCCTGTTTGTCTTTTTTCAGGGCGCTGAGTTTGTTGTACATGGATCATGAACACCTCCCCTAGGGATCCACATACCGAACCAGGTCGGTACGGTGAGGACGGAGACGATTTATGTAGGCGCCAGCCAGTCGGGTCCAGTGTTACCTAACCTGAGGTACGGATCGGTGGATCCATAGGGCTCAATGGTGAGCATCATGTATATATAATCATGTTAGGGTTTGGTTCGGGCCCAGACCCTGCGAAGGTGTCGGGTCCGACCCCTGCCATGGAGAGCCCGTAGGCATCATGTTTGGAACGGATTGACTTCACCAGTGTGGCCCAGTGCTTTCGACCCTCGTCTCTCGCCTCCTTTATTTGTCTCGCGCCCACTAAGGGGACCGTTCGTTTTTGGTGAGGCGGGCCACTGAAAGGTAAGGTCGTGTAAGGTCTGTGGATGTTCTGAGGGATTGACATGAATGAAAAATACATTAACAAAAATAATACAGTATTTGATTGGTGCAGGCAGTTCTCAGGTGCCTCGGTCCCCTGCTCCATCCTGTTTCTTTCTTTTTTCTCTCGGGTGCCCTGGTTGTCATTTGGTCACATGGTCCCCTGATCCCTTGGTTCCCGGGTCAGTACTGTAGATACCCGCAATGCAGGTATATTTTTGTTGATCCTTATCATGTTTATTGTTTGATATCCTATTAAAAAACAATAAACCATGTTTTGTTGATCCTTCACCCCCGACTTAGCGCCTGCTTGATGAACCTATAATAGGTGACAAACCCAACGTCTTGCAGAACGGTGTCCCTGTTGATGTTCAACCCGTGAAGTTCGATGAACAACACATGGGGTCAGTGGAGAAAAACGTCGACCCTCCTGCTCCTTTCTTCCGGCCTCACTCAGAAAGATGCACCGGTGGAGGTCTTCTGTTTTTTTGCATGCACCGGTCGTGTCTTCTGGTGGGAAAGCTCTATAAATCAAATCATGTGTTGGAAGACGACAACACGCGGAAGACGACAACAGTGCCCCCCCCCGTCTAGTCACATCCGATCCGAAAACCAGGCTGATTGCTTGGTACTGCACCGGCAGGGAACGATCCCAGTCAGAACTGGGAACACCTTTGTCCTTTGAGCGCTTGTCCTTTGGTGTTACATCTAATCAGAGAGTTGGTGTTACCTTGTGGCAAGATAAAGGCAACAGACAACCAACATCTCAGAAGTAGTTTTTTTTGTTTTCTGTGTTATTCCCTTAATTACTCGCGCCCTCCATACAATTCCCACATATACGGTTTCTCCAAATCCCTAAGAGGTGGTTCATACACCTGGTTTTTGCTTCAAAGGAAAGGAGAAGGGGACGTCCCCATGGGCGAACCCCCTTCTGGCAAATGTTTGGTATGTGTTTTCCAACCCTAAGAATCCGGGCCCGAAGCAACACATAGGGTTTGGTTCGGGTCCGGACCCCTGCGTTTTGGTGTCGGGTCCGACCACTGCCATGGAGAGCCCGTTCGGATTCTTAGGGAAGTACAGTTGTCGGGGAATTGGACCAAGAGGTCCGAGAAAGGACACAACGAAAGCATCGTCGCAGTGAAGCCCTGGTGGCTGGGTTTCGGGGATGTTGTTTCCCACTGCTCCCAAGAAGTCAAGGGAACCAACTTTTAGACGGTGGTTCCGAG